CTCTATTACTGGTTTACAGTTGTATAAAACTGTAATCATGTAACGACATCTAAGCGCCTTTTGTATGGAATCCTAATAGTGAACATGGATTTTCATTGTAAACACTTTAATTACCTTTCTAGAAAGATAAATGATCATTGTATTATAACGAATTAAATTATTTTAGCATATCACGTTCAAGGGAAGGTGTGGCTTATCGGTGGAGCGCTATACTGTTAAGTTGAATGTCTCGAGTTCGAATCCCTGTCGAGCAAATCGGATGAGCACAGTGCTGACCACACTACGCATCTTATACCGAGGTCAAGAAACACATGAAATCTCTCTGTTTCGTTCTAATCAATGTATTTTGTTACACATTCTTTTCGGTGCCTAGACGCGGAGCAGACGAGGACTTTATTCCTTATCAATATCAATAAGTAATTTGCCACTTTCTGTTAGGGCTTGCTGCTTGAGTTAAGCGGTGTCAGTCTTTTTTGAGAGAAAACAACTTTCTTCCAGCAATGGAAACCCGATTGATATTTTACGTGTTGTTACAAAAAATGATTACAGGCTAATTAAATGTGTGCTATCATTATTTGAGCTACCTCTAAGGTATCGTTTATTACTAAACCAAATGCGAACTAGGTCTTTCTCTGGCAACCACCATCAATTCAGTCCTTGTCCCAAGCCCTAATGGCAACCCCCATCGATTCAGTCCTTGTCCCAAGCCTTTACTTTCTCAGTACAATGTTTTGTTTTCTAATCAAAATGTCGCTGATCTTTTGTTGTAGTGACGCCTACCTGCCAGCTGGTCCTACTGTGACTAATTATTTTCTCACAATCCTACTGTGACTAATTGTTTTCTCACCATCCTATTGTGACTAATTGTTTTCTCACCATCCTACTGTGACTAATTGTTTTCTCACCATCCTATTGTGACTAATTGATTTCTCACCATCCTACTGTAACTAATTGTTTTCTCACCATCCTACTGTGACTAATTGTTTTCTCACCATCCTATTGTGACTAATTGTTTTCTCACCATCTTACTGTGACTGTTTTCTCACCATCCTACTGTGACTAATTGTTTTCTCACCATCCTATTGTGACTAATTGTTTTCTCAACATATAACTGTGACTAATTGTTTTCTCACTATCATACTGTGACTAAATGTTTTCTCACCATCCTACTGTGACTGTTTTCTCACCACCCTACTGTAACTGATAGTTTTATCACCATCCTACTGTGACTGTTTTCTCACCACCCTACTGTAACTGATAGTTTTCTCACCATCCTACTGTAACTATTTTCTCTCCAAGATCTTGATTGCACACAAGATTAAAAATAGCCAGCAATACTCTGTCCTATTGAATACACAACAAGCTAGCAATACTCTGTCCTATTGAATACACAACAAGCTAGCAATACTCTGTCCTATTGAATACACAACAAGCTAGCAATACTCTGTCCTATTGAATACACAACAAGCTAGCAATACTCTGTCCTACTGAATACACAGCAAGCTAGCAATACTCTGTCCTATTGAATACACAACAAGCCAGCAATACTCTGTCCTATTGAATACACAACAAGCCAGCAATACTCTGTCCTATTGAATACACAACAAGCCAGCAATACTCTGTCCTATTGAATACACAACAAGCCAGCAATACTCTGTCCTATTGAATACACAACAAGCCAGCAATACTGTCCTATTGAATACACAACAAGCCAGCAATACTCTGTCCTATTGAATACACAACAAGCCAGCAATACTCTGTCCTATTGAATACACAAGCCAGCAATACTCTGTCCTATTGAATACAAAAGCTAGCAATACTCTGTCCTATTGAATACACAAGCCAGCAATACTCTGTCCTATTGAATACACAAGCTAGCAATACTCTGTCCTATTGAATACACAAGCCAGCAATACTCTGTCCTATTGAATACACAACAAGCCAGCAATACTCTGTCCTATTGAATACACAAGCCAGCAATACTCTGTCCTATTGAATACACAAGCCAGCAATACTCTGTCCTATTGAATACACAACAAGCCAGCAATACTCTGTCCTATTGAATACACAAGCTAGCAATACTCTGTCCTATTGAATACACAAGCTAGCAATACTCTGTCCTATTGAATACACAAGCTAGCAATACTCTGTCCTATTGAATACACAAGCCAGCAATACTCTGTCCTATTGAATACACAACAAGCCAGCAATACTCTGTCCTATTGAATACACAAGCCAGCAATACTCTGTCCTATTGAATACACAACAAGCCAGCAATACTCTGTCCTATTGAATACACAACAAGCCAGCAATACTGTCCTATTGAATACACAACAAGCCAGCAATACTCTGTCCTATTGAATACACAACAAGCCAGCAATACTCTGTCCTATTGAATACACAACAAGCCAGCAATACTCTGTCCTATTGAATACACAACAAGCCAGCAATACTGTCCTATTGAATACACAACAAGCCAGCAATACTCTGTCCTATTGAATACACAACAAGCCAGCAATACTCTGTCCTATTGAATACACAACAAGCCAGCAATACTCTGTCCTATTGAATACACAAGCCAGCAATACTCTGTCCTATTGAATACAAAAGCTAGCAATACTCTGTCCTATTGAATACACAAGCTAGCAATACTCTGTCCTATTGAATACACAAGCCAGCAATACTCTGTCCTATTGAATACACAAGCTAGCAATACTCTGTACTATTGAATACACAAGCCAGCAATACTCTGTCCTATTGAATACACAAGCTAGCAATACTCTGTCCTATTGAATACACAACAAGCCAGCAATACTCTGTGCTATTGAATACACAAGCCAGCAATACTCTGTCCTATTGAATACACAACAAGCCAGCAATACTCTGTCCTATTGAATACACAAGCTAGCAATACTCTGTCCTATTGAATACACAAGCTAGCAATACTCTGTCCTATTGAATACACAAGCTAGCAATACTCTGTCCTATTGAATACACAAGCCAGCAATACTCTGTCCTATTGAATACACAACAAGCCAGCAATACTCTGTCCTATTGAATACACAAGCCAGCAATACTCTGTCCTATTGAATACACAAGCCAGCAATACTCTGTCCTATTGAATACACAACAAGCCAGCAATACTCTGTCCTATTGAATACACAAGCCAGCAATACTCTGTCCTATTGAATACACAACAAGCCAGCAATACTCTGTCCTATTGAATACACAAGCCAGCAATACTCTGTCCTATTGAATACACAAGCCAGCAATACTCTGTCCTATTGAATACACAACAAGCCAGCAATACTCTGTACTATTGAATACACAAGCCAGCAATACTCTGTCCTATTGAATACAAAAGCTAGCAATACTCTGTCCTATTGAATACAAAAGCTAGCAATACTCTGTCCTATTGAATACAAAAGCTAGCAATACTCTGTCCTATTGAATACACAAGCCAGCAATCTTGGCGTGCCAAACATATTCAGACATGTCAACATTCAGCAACAACATCCATCTTTTTGAGTCGCCGGCTATCGAACTAAACACTGGAAACAGTTTTAACTATGAGTCTGGGTATTTTTAAAGTTATGTATTAAATTATGAGTATTATGAGGAATCATTGTAAATGAGTAAGGTATCATATCATCTGTATAGCCAAATGTGAGTTGTGTCAAACGTGTGATACTGTAATTAAGTTTACTTGCTTTAAAATAAGCCTACAGTACGGTAAATACAGAATTATAATATAATGTCAATTATTTGTTTGCTAAATCACCAAAATCGTTAATTTAACTGTACAGGCTATTAAAAACAGCGATGTATTACAACTACACAACAACAACAAAATGGTAATAATAAAGTTTAATTCTACTGAACACACAGTGAAAATTATCAATAAAAGATATCATATCGACCTAAGCCCACAATAATTCTGAAATACAATGAGAAATATAAAAACAAATTGCCAGTTAGGGCTCCCTTGGAGCAGATGCTTAAAGCACTAATCATATGCCAACATATAGTAATATGTACAAATGTTTTCAGGATTAAAGAAAAAATTTCTCACTAAACATAAACATGCAAATATTCAATATAATAGATGTTATATACATAAAATATGTTGATTTATGACACACATTGATACATACTAAATAATTAAATAATAATTTTTGAAAAATGATTTTAAAACTATTACAGATTTACCAGTTGTATACAAATGTAATCATGCAACGACATCAAGGCTTGTTAAGTATGGAATCCTAATAATGAGCTGGGATTTTCACTGTAAACACTTATCCTATTAAGACCATTTATTTGCCCAATCACAAATAGCCTATTGTACTGTGAATACTACAATAAAAACTGTGCATGTATTACTTATAAGAGGGACCAGTTTAGGGAACAGATCATCTTGTTGCTGTTTTGACATTCAACATGTTATAAAATTATCAGTGATCCAATTTTTCCCATGGTTGGTGTGTAATTAGAAAAATATACAGAATTACAAAACAGCTTTACATATCTGCCTTTGTACAAGAGTAAAGTGCGTCATCGTTATCATCAATTAAACGAAGCAATGTTGTAAGTCTAGCGTAAACATTCCATACACCCAACATTCTATCCAACATTTTACAATACCAATTTTAACAAACAATTTCTACACTCAACTGAAAGTATGCATAGAACAATTAGGAACAGACAATTTGCATGCATATTAGAAAAATTTCATTTGTTTATGTAAGGTCTACAGCTAGATGAAGAAAACCACACATAGGCTACTAAGAACAATCAAGGTCTATACACTAGATAATTTATACACTTCAGCAACTATTTCCTTCTCTGGTGTTATATTTTCCATTGTGCAACTGCTAGCTTCAAACAAAAATACAAAAAATCCAAATGAAAAAAACCCACAATTTATCTATTCACTATAGTTCTTTATACCACTTTGTAATCTGAATTCATATTTTTTTAACCTGTAGAAATGACTCATGTTGTTCTTTTATAAAGGTATTAGTCACAAGATTTACCAGCACACCAATAACTCAAAAAATGAGTAACTGATCAAATAGAGAAATGTATAAATTATTAAAACATTACCCTACCCTAGTTCTTATCAACAATGGTGTTTTTTTAGCGGTTCTGTCATTTTTTTATTTTTACAGGAGGGGTTTGATAGCCCTTCACCCAACCCTCTTCTTTTCACAGCTGGGCTTGGGACCGGCCATGGCAGAATTTTGGCATACTGAAAAAACATGCCAGAAAAAAATATCAGAACAGCTAATCCAACACCATTACCATCAAAGAACTATGGCAGCAAAAAAAAAAACCAACCACTGAATGAAGCAGAAACAAAAGGCATTGGACTGGCCACACACAGAAGCAGATGACCAGTATATTAAGAAATAATACCACTGATACAGTTAAAGGAAAGATATGCTAGCCACTACTGTACTACTACTATTGTATATTGAAGAATATGAAATATAAACATAGCTGTAATAAATTGATGCTTTTGTATTTCTGAGACAGTCCCATAGTAAGTGTAAGCCAAATCATCAAACTGACATACACAAACCATAACGCCTGTCCAAGAAAACTTTCAATTCTCAAGTTTTGAGTTCAAAAGGTCAAAGACATTCACACTTTTAATCTACAGACACTGAGTTGAGCAGTTGCTCATGAATGAACGCTGTGGAAAATCCACCCAAGAACAACTGTTTACAACTTCACTGTTGTATGTTTTAAAAACTTCATAAAGCTATCATAGTATGTATTGTTATTGTTACACCTATCAGTGTAATGACAGGGTATACTGTGTATTATTTAGTCTTAAAAACGACGCACAACAAGAATTTTAACAAAACAGTGTCTATAGTGTTCTTGACTCCATACATAAAGTAAAATATATTAAGAACAATAAATAGTCAAAAATGATTTTTAGAAACACTTCTATTTATGTGAAGTTAAGGAAAATTCATAATGATGTAAGTGAGATATATTTACTACATTTATATTTGTGTACACCTATGTACAGCTCATTCTGCATTTTACATACCACTAAAATTCCCACCAAGTGTTATACATTCCCAATCTAATTGCATGCATCAGGACATTATTTTTAAAAAGAAAACATAGGTGCTGAGGTGTATAAATTTAAAAAAAACTTATAAGCAATGATGAAATAAAGAGTGAAAAATATGAAGATGAAATTTGTTGCCACTAAATAATCACAATTTACAAAAGAATTTACTTGGATACTCAACAACTGTTGATATTATTATTACAATTTATATAATATTATCAACAAATGTGTATTTTACATTTGAATCAGATGAAATTTTAAACTCTTAAATGGAGTTGTAAGCTATCTTGCTATTGATATATCAGGATTGTTCCATTCAACCTGTTAATCTTACATAAATTATTTGAAATGACGTTCTTTGAAGAGCCAAAGTGTGTTAATGGCATCAGTAATGTGGACACTGGGCCCTGAATCTTGTGTGCTGGGGCAGGTGCAGCACTTATAGGTGGGCGAGATATTTCCCCTAGGCTTTATAGGCTTATAAAAGATTAAATTATTTTTTTTTAAATAATTCCATGCAAATTAACAAACAAGTCAAAGGGACATAACAAAAATGAATTCAAATATTCTATGAAAAGGTAGGTTTAACACAACAAATTTTTGAAAACAAAAAAAAATTTTGATAAAAAAAAATTTCTGAGGCTACTTATTTTAAAAAATAGATCAAGCCTAATTTCTTCTGTGCGTCAGTGAAGAGAAAAGCTTTAAATGGGTTGAAGACTGGCAGTGTCCACTATGACCTTGATGAAAAGCGTATCGTCCTTGATGTAATGATTGCTGGGGTTGTCCAGGACAGTGTGCGCCACAAACAGCGGACACCCGCTGGCAACGTTCATCTCAGCGTTCACTGGTCTCCTAAAGCTGGTACTGTTGGGGTCTGGGAAAAACTCATCCTTGAGGTGTCTCTTGTCTGGGGACTGGTCCAGTAGGATCAAGCTAACCTGTAGTAGAGAGACACGAAACTTGCTCAACAAACTTTCTAAACCAATCTGGGCTCTACATTATTACAGAATTATTTTTTTAAGCATTTTAAGAAAAACTATTAAATTCAATAAATTTAGACATTTTTTAATATCTGTAGCTAAATATTTACAAAAAATTTAAATCAATACAACCCATCATATTTTGCATAATAAATTGTCTAGGATTTGCTGTATAATGAATTATCATACAAAATGTAGGCATGCACATATAAACATTTTTTAAAAATTAACATTCTCTTAAGAAAACTTTCAGTGCCAGTAAACGAATCAGTTCTTAATTATTGTAATCATCAGTTGTGTTTACCCTTTGTTGGAAAGGCCAGGGAAGAAGGGCATCATATTCTCCTTTCATGACAACAAAGTACAGGGACATGTGAGTTCCGCGGCCGATTCCGTCCCCATTCAAATACACTCTAGCACACATCTTGTAACCAAAGCGGCCAGTGTAGAAAGGTTGACTGTACAGTGAAACTGTCCGTCCTTGGACCGCATCCTGAAAAAATCATTTTTAAAAATGCATAAATTTGCATTCTAATACAAGTACTACATCAAAAGTAGCTTTATTCATAAAATACAAACATACCCTTTTCCTTTGACTGAAATCTCTAATTTTCCACAGAAGTTTCCCATCATAACTTGCAGTTTCCAGCATCTGAAACCTTAAATCCATTTCCGCTGTTCTGATCTCATGATTTGCTATTTGACGGTCGTGATTGGAGACTTGGGGAATGAGAAGTTCTGGGGGGGAAAAGGTAGTTTTTAGAGCATTCATCAAGGAAATAGAATTTCAGTATTAAACAGTCTCTCAACTACATTAAACAACAATTGAATACACAAGTCACTTAAACGCAATAAGCCACAATTAAATTTAAAAAGCTACTCAACTGCACTAAGCTAAAACTTAATACACAATTCATTTAACAGCACGTTGATACAGTGACGTAACTGTACTAAGCCAAAATTAATTACAAATGGTCATTTAACTAAACCACAATAAAAAAACACAGTGACTTAGCCAAAATTAATTACAAATGGTCATTAATTTAAGGGGATATGCGCGGAAAAAAATCACAAAATTTCTTGTTTTTCGTCATGATGGGTTTCTTGCTTTTTTCTGTACTTTGTCCATTTTTGTATACAGAAAATAATAACTTTTAAGAGAAAAAAATATTTTATGTGTTTGAATTACGATTTTTCTGACCCTATTAATTAAAAAATAATCAATTTTTCCCAATCTTACAAGCTCTCTATGAAAAGTTTTATATCCGTCATTATATTGTATTTGACATCATTGGAAAGCTGGATTTCTCATGTTACTAATAAACTTAATTTCCTACATCTCGGAAACACCCAAAGCTTACAATCGGCTTTGCAGTTTACACAGATATGGTACTTTCCTGACCTAGTTTTCGTTACTTTTGGCTGTTTTTCTCAGTTCGCAGGTTTTTAACACTAAAAAGCCTACTACTTTTTTATTTATTGAACAATTCCAACCATATTTTCAGTAAATGTTCTTGATGCGAAAATACAACTTTTGTCACGAGGGAATTGTGATTGCTTTCATAGAAAAAAAGTATTTGGTAATTAATATTCACATTTTGAAACTTTTGAATACTAAAAAGAGTACGATTTTTTAGACCTTGTAAAATTCTTACTAGTAATTATTTCAAAAAGTTGTCGTTACAAAAGTTTTAGTATATACTGAAATATAAGCAGTTTAAATTTGATTGCTATAGGTGCATAAATAAAAAAGCCTTAGTATTTTTAAAAGTACCGAAAAATTCAAAATGGCGGAGGTTTTTTGGGTTTCCATGACAACCAACATTGTTTTCGACCCTTTTATTTGCTGTTTAATAGTTACTTTTACATGCCAAATATGATAAAAGTATTCAAAAGGCTTTAGATCTTAAACTGTAAAAAATAGAAAAAAACATAGCATATCCCCTTAAGCCACAATAAAAAAAAACACAATGACTTAACTGTACTAAGCCAAAATCAATTACAAATTGTCATAAACTAAGCCACAATAAAAAAACCACAGTGACTAAGCCAAAATTAATTACAAATGTTCATTAAACTAAGCCACAATAAAAAAAACACAGTGAATTAGCCAAAATTAATTACAAATGTTCATTAAACTAAGCCACAATAAAAAAACACAGTGAATTAGCCAAAATTAATAACAAATGTTCATTAAACTAAGCCAAAATTAATTACAAATGGTCACTTAACTAAGCCACTATAAAAAAACAGTGACTAAGCCAAAATTAATTACAAATGTTCATTAAACTAAGCCAAAATTAATTACAAATGTTCATTAAACTAAGCCAAAATTAATTACAAATGTTCATTAAACTAAGCCAAAATTAATTACAAATGTTCATTAAACTAAGCCAAAATTAATTACAAATGGTAATTAAACTAAGCCAAAATTAATTACAAATGGTCACTTAACTAAGCCACTATAAAAAAACAGTGACTAAGCCAAAATTAATTACAAATGTTCATTAAACTAAGTCACAATTAAAAAAAACACAGTGACTAAGCCAAAATTAATTACAAATGTTCATTAAACTAAGCCAAAATTAATTACAAATGTTCATTAAACTAAGCCACTTACTCAACTGCTCGATGCTCTGCTGCACATGCTGTACATCAGGTGTTGAGCCTGCAGGTGCACCACCAGATATTTCTGCCACTTTCTGCTCAGCTATGATCAGTCTTTCAACTTGCTGAACCATTTTAAGCTACACAAGTAAACAGTACAAACATTCAATCAATTAAGGAATAGTTGGTATCTAATTTTTTTCTAAGTATTTTACCAGGCATATTTAATAATGTAATGTAATGTAATTTTAGAAAAAGCTCACAGAAAAAATATACGTTTGAAAAAAAAATTATGTCTGCAAACCTTTAACTCTCTATGTGTGTTTTTCAGTGTGCCATTCAGACCTTCAATTTCTTTACTCAACTGTTCGACTTTTTGTTTTAGATGCTGACAAAAAAAAATATAATAAATAATACAAATTCAGAAATTTGATTACATTGAAACATGTATTTTAAAATTAATTGAACAAAATAATTCATCTGAACAATTTTCAAACTTCAAATCCGTAGGTACAAAACTGAATAATAATTATTTATCAAAACTCCAAATCTATACATGGTATAAAATATCTGACAAACCAGGTTCTTGTGCACATAGTTACATTAAATTTTTTTTTTACCTGTAATTCATCAGATTCTTTTTTTCTTTGCATTTCTGAATAAAGAGCAAACTCACAAACTACTGCGAAATGTGAAGTAACATCTTTTTCATGTAGTAAAACTTCTTCTTTATGACCCTGAAAACAAATAATTTAGCACCTAAACTTTAGGTGAAACAAAAATGTGGAGATATAATTTAGTGGGTGAAAGCAGAAAATTATAGCACCAAAACTTAATGTAAAGAAACCTGTAAAAAACTCATTGTATAAAAAATTTAATAATAGTCAGATGATTTGCCTCAGATTAAAATTTTAAAATACCAAGATTATCAAAATCTTTCCTTTCAAACAAGGTTATAGAAGTATATTTTAAAATTAATTCAACAAGTTTTGATACCCTTAAAAATTCAAGGGAAATAATCAGACAAAAACTGTAATTAAAGTTGTACATCAATTTATTCAGATAATAAATTTTTATGAAGTTTGAATTTTTATATTAAAACAAAAATTTACAAGATTTACTTTATATAGTCAAAATATTTTGATTTAATTTCCTTTTAGTGTTGTTTATGAACCAAAATGAAATAGTTTAAATACAGAGATTGGCATAATTTAGTTTTTAATAGATTTCCTGATTTATTTATTTTCAAACAGATAAACAGAATTGCATTAATCAACTTAAATTTTATTTGTTCTAAACTTTGCTTCAATTTTCTATACTTAACTAATACTACAATACAATTGTGTTATTTAGCTCTGTGTTTATCTCAATCCTGCCCAAAGAAAATCTTTAAAAAATACCATTCAAAAAGATTTTGTTACTGAAAAAATGGTGTAACCTAGAAAATCATACTAATACAATTTCATGTTTCATACTTACCACAAAGGTGCATCCTAAAATACTAAATTTACATTCAGTTGGCTTTTTGGGACAGTCTGCCTTATGCTCTTCTAGCTAATTAAAAAAAAAAAGAAATACAGCGTTTTTATAAACATAAATATTTTAAAGTTAATGTATTATGTTGAGATAAAAATCAAAACATCTTACCAGTCTACGTTTGTACTTAACATCTCCACATTTATAAGGACATAACACCATAGCCTCAGGGCAAGTGGATTCTTCATGTTCCTATAAATAAGACAAGATAAATTTTCAAATATTTCAAGTTCAGTTAAATTAAGAGAAAGCTAGACCTATTTAATGTACTAGCCAAAAAAAATTGGGATTTAATATGTTCTTACTTGTTGCTGATAAGCACTGTATTCTTCCCCGCATAAATCACACAATGTAGGTCGATGTTTACATGTTTCCTCGTGTTTGAGAGAATCTTTAAACAACATACTCTCCTGACACCCCCTTGATGAATGTCTACATACTACTGTTCGATGTTCACAATTTGGTGAATGTTTCTATAGTTTTAGACAAAAAAGTATCCTATTACTCCAAACATTTACACAACAACTTTGAGTGATGTTTAAGTATAATCATTATACTTACACTCAGTTCCCCAAACTTAAATTTTTCCTCACAGCCTTGATCTTTATTAAAACAAAAGACCGGAAGTTGCTTCATTTCCCTTCTAAACCCTGGGTCTGGCAAGATCTGAAACAAGCAGATACATTTGGATGAGTACACTCAACCTTCTTACTTGCTTCTTTAAATGTATTTATGTTATGACCAAGGTTGAACTAATCATCCATGTGTGCAAAATCTCTAGATATATATTGACCTAGATATATTAAGACTCCCTTTAATTCAATACATAACATTTTGATTGCCAGCCTAATTAAGTTTGCCAAAAAATAATCCATTAAGATTTTAAAACATTGTTATCCAAATTTAATCACATCTATCTAAATTTAAAATACTAAGTATAAACCATATTAAACAGTACATCAAGTCAATTATCATATACAAACAATAAAATTGCAACAAGATATTCAACATTAATCAGTATAATTATGCATTAGACTTAGAAACCCAATCAAAATATATTTTAAGTTCAGTCAATAAAACTTCAAAAAAACAAAAAATCTAATGATTCATTCCAAACTTTAGCCTTTCTTATTATAAAAGCACCTAGAGTGCTTAAAACACCTGTAGAAACTTACATTAGATGCTGTTATCTGTTCACAATCTTCCTCATTAGCAGGGCAAATTTTAGACGCTGAGTCGCCCAGGTAAGACCCAACACACTGGGCACACATCCTGTGACCACAAGGGGTTTGTACTGCATCTCTAAGTAGTCCATGATGGACTGGGCACATGTACTTATCATTAGGATGCACTACCTGTGGATCCTCATTCTGAAAGTAAATATTATAATAGACTTTATACATAGTATTAACTTCTGTTTTTGTTTTTACATTTCTGTCTGATAGTTATGACTTCATATTACTATAATAGAATTTATACATTAATCTACATATATAATTCTCTTTATGGACGGACCATGCGGGGCACAACCACCACGTAAGCTCAACAGACCATATTGCTACCACCCCCACCCGTCTGGTGAGCTGTTCACAATCGTAGTGCCGGGTTATTAGGGGTAGATAAATTAGTTTTTAAACTATTTGAAACTAAGGGGAGGTAATAACAAGTTCTGCTTGATCTTTTCATTGTTGTCTGTAAACTGTCTTCACGGACGGCTGCTTTCACTGGGCGTGGGGGGAGGGGAGAGAGGAGTGAGGATAATCGTCCTTCACTAGCTACGGATAGTGTTTTAAAGCAAAATATTTTCAGTCGCAGCATTGGTAGTGTCAAATTCACAAATTATGAATTACTGAAAAATAGGAAATAAAACAACTAAGTAGCGGCGTATGTTACGTCGCGGGGTCGGCTCGTACATATTATTAACTTATGTTTTTTGTTTTTACATTTTTTTCTGATAATTAAAACTTAATACTGTACAGTTAAAACAGTTTGATTATACAGTAGCTTTGTTTAATGACGTTACTTACAGGTAATGAAGCATAGCTGCCTGAAGCAGGGCCACTTCCAGGTGTCTGGTATGAAGCAAATGGTGTACTATCAGGGGCTTCGTCACCAAACCCTGATGAGAATCCACTGGCTCCTAATTCACTGCCAACAGACATTTTATGTCAGAAACCTAGAATACAAAAATGTAATTGTAGTTTAAATATTGCAAATAATTTAAGTAGGTTTATTATGTTGCAATTAAATATTATATAAATAAAACTATTGGTGGCTTGGAGTTATTTATTTTAAGAAAAATTACAGCAAAATGTATGTGGATTAACACTTCTTTATCCTCACAACCCTCAACCACAACACCCCCCCCCCAGTCATCATCAAGAATTACACAAGCCATATTTCTTGAATCATATTTTCCCAGTCAAGACAAAAGTCTGATTCACCCCCCCCCCCCCCCCCCCCCAAAAGTGTGGCATGCACTGATGATGACCCCAAAGCTATGCATTTATTCTGAAATATTGCTGCATTTCTAGAGAGACTTTTTTTTTCCATGGACATTTTGCTCTGGGCATTGATTAAAGTATATTTTCTATATAAATTACATCTTTTAATTGCCCAAAAGGGGTGGAGTTGGGTGGGGTGGCTGTGGATGCTCTGACTCCCCCCCCCCTCTCCCTCAAAGAGATACCTGAAAGATACTGCATATATATATAGTATGCTTTGCCTTTAAAATAAAAGCTCCATGTCTATTTCTTCTCTTTATAAATTGTTTAATAGTAAAAATTATATTTGTATCAGGGATGCATAAGATGAAAATTAGGCATACTAAAAAGATTTTGAAATAAAATTGCTGATAACATATTAGATTTGATCAATAATTTGTAATTTATTCATAAATAATTATATTAGGATAACTCAAATTATGTTTTTAATATTCCGTTTTGGCATAATAGCAGCTTGATTTGGCTTAAAGTTTAGTGATCTGGCAACCTACATAAGTTCGCCTAAGCAAGCCTTTTTTGTGCAGGCCGAAAGTCTTTCAACTTTTCCCATGCTTTGCAACTGCGCCAGTTAGTCGAGTCGATTGCATTTCGGATGCATAGCGTAGATCAATGGTAGACGTGAGTTCAATGGCTAGAGCCGACAGTGATGAACAGAAGCGGATCAATAACGTTTTTTTTTTTTTTTGCTTTCGTATCGGAGTTAAAAAAAAAAAAAAAAAAAAGCAACTAACAGCTGACAGCTGACAAAAAAATCTGAACATAAAACTATTTCAACGCATTAGGGGTCGTCCATAAATAACGTCACACTCGTAGGGGGAAAAGGGGGGCCCGTAATTTTGTGACGGTGTGTGATGAGGGGGAGGGGGGTTGAGATGGTGTGACATCACTTTTTTTCATTATAAAAAAAGCAATGTTAGAAAACGAGTTTTAGCCGTTATTTCGCGTTTTAGAAAACGGTTTTTAATAAATTGTAATAGAAATTGATCCAAATACTCTATGTTGACTGAGTTCTCACAAGATTTTGGAAAAATAACGATGTTTTAAGAAAAATTCAACAACAATTTTGAGGGGGGTTGTAGGCTGAGGGGTGACGTCATTTTAGGGGGGGGGGGTTAGCTTTTTGTGACGACGTGTGACGGAGGGGAGGGGGGAGGTAAAAATCGTCAAAAAAAAGCGTGACGTCATTTATGGATGACCTATTACTGAAATAAAAAGCGAGCTATTTAACAACGATGTTCACGAACGATCGTAGTGACTAGTCAGTACATTTCAGTAGTCAACAACTGTCGCGAGTCACACTGTGTTCACGTCCATAGACCCAACCAGCGATCTTTGCCCGCCGTGTGAAACGGAAGCTAGATGGGTCGGTGCTATTATAGAGGTCGTTAAGACAACACCCTTAATTAGTCAAAGGTAAGCTATAATAGCTCTAGGTTCGCATGCCTTGTTTTAAAATTAATAAATCTTGTAGAAGAAATAGTAGATGGTTTTTTTTTTATGTAAGGGTCATCTATTTACGACGACCTTACAAATACAAACGAGATCGTTGTGTGGAAGGGGTGTGGGGGGGGGGGGACGTCCACGCGAAACACTAACTTCACAAGCAGAGATTCTTCCAGGTATCTCTTCCCCCCCCCCCCCGAACGAAATTTATATAGAAAATATATACTTTTAACAGTGTCCGCCACCCCCCCCCCCCCCCGAAAATTGAAAATTTCAAGTGCCCCCCCCCCCCCCCGGAGAAAAAAAGTCTGAAAGAAACACTGGTCACAAGTCTTGTAGTTATAAAAAGAAAACAACATTTTTCCTGGGAACATAACTTGTGTATAGCTTTTACTTTCATTAGAACTTGGGCGCTCGCTTTTAAACAACAGCTCTTTACGTGCGGCGACAACACGGTTTCTACAGTTATTAAATCAAAGGCGCTTTGTTGATGAGAACTCAGTGTGGCCTTATTGTTCATGAACTGCCAGTGGGTTTTTTTCATACTGTTGTTAGTTAAATAGAAATCGAATTTTAATTTTATAATTAGTATAAGGCAATTGATGAACAAAACTTTTCTGTAGGTCTATAATGTTAGTATAACTTTTATATTCTATCATTTTATTATAAATGAAGTTAGTTTGAAAAAAAAACTGTACTCAACTGAGCACACCGTAACAGGCTTTTAAAAAAAACAAGTTGCGCTTGTGTCGGTAATGGAATGGGTAAAGTAATTACTTTTATAGCAAAGGAAGTCTAGAGCAAATATGTCGGGAGCTCATTTGTCGGAAGCCAAATTGTTGTGGAATTTTTTAGTCCGGCCTCGTTGATTTGGGCTATTTTGCGGGGCCATTTTGACGGTGCACCAAGCGACGCACGTAGATAACATCGAAATAGAAACTATGGCCCGATGGACAATAGAGCAAATGTATAGTTAAAACTACTTGAACTCATCTTTAGAGTTAATTGCGATTTTCAAGGTAGGGCACTAAAATGATGCAGTTTAATAACGTTATCCTAAAGAAGAGGCTATATATAATACGAGCTGACCCGCTGCGTATCATACGCCGCTATTTATTTATTTTTTTTTTCTACTTTTCAGTAATTTATAATTTGTGAATTCGACAGTACCAATGCTGCCATTGAAAATATTTGCTTAAAAACACTAACACCCCCCCCCCCACGTGAAAGCAGCCTCCTCTTAGTTACCTCCTCTAAGTTTAAAATCGTTTCAAACTAAATTATCTGCCCCTAATAGCCGTCACCAAACCCGTCTCTATGATTGTAAAATGTAAACAGAGTGAACACCGCTCACCAGATCATGTGGGGGTGGGGTAGGGGTGGTAGTGATTACTGATAGAGAGGAAGAGAGGGGACTGCAAAGGCGCGCTTGCAGCTTGTTTTCTGATCCCAGAAGAGAATTATATATATAGATTGGCGCAGGTGGGTGCTCGCCGCGATGCGAGATCGGCGATAAAAAGAAAATGACATTAGTCATTATTGAGAAAGTGTGTCGTAAAAGTGTGTCGTCACACTTTCAGAAACGATGTTAGAATCTAAAATAAACCATAAAACGAAACCTTCGACAGAACCAAAATTTGTACACTTCACAACTTGCCTATAGGTCTATATTGGTAAATATCCATAATTAAAATGAACAGAATGATGCTACGCTATTTTATGTCGACTTTTTCAACTTTTCAAACATCGGCACAAAAATTCTAAATTCCTCTAAATTAGTCTAAATAGACACCCTGAATAACGTCACACTTCAGCACCATTTAAAAAAAAAAAGTTATTTCCCTTAATAAGGGGATATAACCAATTTTTTAAAAAGTCCACAGTGGTCAGCTGTTTGCCAGCTAAACTGGTGAGAGCATCTCTCATCACTGTTTAATAGGCTACTGAACAAATTATCAAAATTTGAGTTAAAATTTAACTTTTTATAATGCAATAATTTTATGTTAATACTGTTTCTTAGAATTAGGCCTGAATATTTCCAGGTTTTCATAAGTAAGTACTAAACAAAGTATTTCAGTTTTTATATTAATTATACCTACAAAATATTATATCAGGACTGCTTAAGATCACAATATTGTTGATTATTGATTTACAATAATATACAATAATATACACATATATTTTAGTACATAAATTATGTTTGAAATCAATAAGCCTATTATGCTTATTATTCATCATAAAATAATTAGATATTAGATCTAAGTTTAGTTTACATTTCAGCATGCTTATGCTTATTATTCCTCATAATAATTAGATATTAGATCTAAGTTTAGTTTACATTTCAGCATGCAATTATAATGGCAACAATTATTTTTTTAAATCAAAACAGTAAAACATGATAATAGATTTAAAAGTATATAAATTTAAGAGTAAATTTATATATACTGAATTTATTTAGGAGAGAATAGTTAATCTGTTTATAAACAGTAAATTCAAAACAGTAACTTAGGTTAGGAAGGCAGCTGTTAATGTGACATTTCAACATTCAGCCCCCCCCCCCCCCCTATCTATCTACCAATATCACCAGTAGTTGACAAGCTGCGTCTTGCACCCATATATATGTTGGCTGGTACCTCATTTAATACCCCCCCCCCCCCCCTCTTTCCTCCAGCGTGGCCTATTTAACAATTCAGATACGACCCGGCAAGAAACCATTGTTCACCCCCCTCCCCCTCCCCCCGTTTCCCCCGTTGACCCTAGGTCGCATACCTGGGACAACGGAGGTTAGGTTGTTGCAAGCTCAGTGGAGAGCTATACTTTGGATGGAGTAGATGTGTATGGGTGTGCTTAGGCTGGTCGCGATGTTGGGCCGTTGCTGTCGTGTGAGATGCTGTACCGTTGCTGTTTAGATGGTGCAGAAGCTGTCGCTGCACCTGTCGTGATGTCGACCTGTCCTGTGAGCTGCTGTCGCTGTACCTGTCGTGATGTCGACCTGTCCTGTGAGCTGCTGTCGCTGTACCTGTCGTGATGTCGACCTGTCCTGTGAGCTGCTGTCGCTGTACCTGTCGTGATGTCGACCTGTCCTGCATGTGAGCTGCTGTCGCTGTACCTGTCGTGATGTCGACCTGTCCTGTGAGCTGCTGTCGTTGTACATGCGGCTAGATGCTGTTGCTGTACCTGTCGTCGTAATGTCAACCTGTGCTGTCCTATGAGATGCTGTTGCTGTACC